AATCTCGATGATGTACTGTAACGCCCCTAGATTAAAAATGGTTTAGCTTTAAAAGCATAACTAATTTGAAATCCCCACTCTCAAATCAGGCAAGACCAAGTATATGTTTAAATGCAACATAAAATTTGTTACCTAGTGTTATTTATTGATAGTAATATATGCATTTTATGAGAGAAAAAAATAACTTATTTTTAATAATAAATTTGGTCAAAACTGCTTGATACATTCCCATATTCTGTATGAGCAAAACCACGATCACCGGTCTCGACTGTTTGATTCACAATATTATAAAATACATTTTAAATATTTTTTCGAATATGTATCCGCATGACGAGAAATCATCATTTCACAGCTAATCTCTCGTAGCCATACTTTCTTTTGTTTAATTTCCGGCATTGGAACAGCATGATCCAATTCTGAGTCAATTTTCATCTCCGTAGCCTTGTAATTTTAAATCCAATCCAGAAGACAAGGGAACTCCCAGGTCAAATCATTGGAGCAAACTAGTCTTCCTGGAATTTTGGATGAAACTAACTCAAATTTTTTTTTACTTGGAGAGGAAGGCCACGAAATCCTTCCATGGTTAGCCTACGGTCCAATAACCGTATGATTAAAATTCGTCATTTGTCAATAATTAATTATCAAAAAAATGCCTGCATCTTTTTTTTTTTTTGGGNCTTTTTTTTTTTTGGGGGGGGGGGGACGGATGTGTTGATTCTAGTCATATTCCCTGTTTCTATGCAACTTTAATAAATTACAATAATATAAGACTATATTATTTCTTACGCCAAAAAATACACTTAATATCTTTCCTCAAGTCAAAAAATTCTCATAAAAAATAATAATTTATTAATTAGATTAATAAAATAAGTACAATTAAGACCTTTAAAAAATAAAATACTTAGTTTCTGTTCCTAAGCAGGCCCAGCAAAATCGCGTTTTGCCCATTAACAGGTTTAAACTAAAACAGACAACACAATTAAATAATCATTTAAAAGCAGTGAGAATAATTTTTTTTAAAAAAACGTTCTGAATTACAGGTAATTTAATACGTTGACTTTTTTATGATAATATAATTTGACGGAAAAAAAACTGAATTTATTAATTATTTGGTATAAATTAGAAAAATTACACGAACTGCTTGTACTTAGAATCCAATGTCCCACCAAATTTCTTGTTAAAAATTTTTTTCTTTCTTTCTTTTGATAATTAATCTGATTTTATATTTTTGTTTTATTTGTAGGAAAAATAATCCGTGTCTCCTAATCAGTCTTAAATAGATTTCTAAGAACATTCGTTTTCTTAACAGTAAAAGATAAAAATCAAGTTTTCTGTTCAATGCTAATCGCATTTTTTCTACATTTCTCAAGTTTCAAGGAAATTTTCAAGAAAAAAAGAAAAAACTATTGTTTTCAATAGTAGGAAATATAATGATTGCATAAAGCACATGTTTCAGTTTAAACATTCTGACGTATATAGCCTTAAGCTACTATTCTATTTAAAACAACAATATACTGACTCAATCGCGATTTCCCAATTTCTGTGTCACGGTTGCGTTTATCATCTGTTCGCCATCCATCCGTTTTGTTTCTTTTTATTTTATTTCTTCCTTGTTTCGATATACGGGAATTAAAAAGAAAAACGCGCGGCTCTCTTGGGTTATGGAAGTTGAAAATAGCGCACAAATGAACGCTTCGGAGAAAAATTATTCTTGATGTTGACAAAGGCTAGTTTATGTACACGTAGTTCAGGCGAGGATGAAAAGGGAAAATGAAACTCCAATTTTCCCTTTTCATCTACTCTTTCTTCTTTTTCTCTTGTCATCGATTATTATACATATGTTCTAGCAGATTTTATTATTCATTCATTCATTATATTATTCATCATTTCGGCGAATGAAAGCCTTTACATATTATTGTTTCCTTTTTTACTTCCTAATAAAACGGATCAGCTATTGAGCTTCATTCTATATTTATTTCTAATTATTGGAACCATATGCTTTTCAGCGGAACATAAAATTAAATAAGTAACTGCCATGCAACAGGTTTTAAAGGACAAAAGCTAAAACATTTAACGCGAATAAATTTTGATTATTTTGTAATTTTTTTTTTATCGGATATATATATCCAAAAAATAGGATATTTCTGGATAAATAAGAATATTTCATAGGAATCCGTATAAAAGTTATTTTTTAAATTGCATTTTTTTTTTTTTTTTTTTTTTCAAATTGGAGGAACATTAAAGTCGTTTCGATTTCAAGATATCTATGTCATGTATGGTATTAATAATTTATGAGTATTAATTATTTATGGGTATTAATTATTTATTTTACTCTGCAAGAATATTCTATCTAAAAAAAGAAGAAGAAAGAAAGGAAAAAAACAAAAGCAAACAGGATCTTGAAAAAAATATTGATTGCTTTGTAAATCGATTTTTTACATCCTATAAGTAACACCTTTGTAACTTGAATAACTTATTTTTTTAAAGAAGTATTTTTACAGATAAAATTTTCCCAAATTTAAAAAAAAAACTTTTTTTTAATTAAACGTAAGAACGCTAGCTGAATGACAAAATGTTGTAGCATTGTATATTTTTAGCCTACAGTTTTGTTTTGTTTAATGCAATTTATTAGTTTTACCTATTAAAATAAATGTAGGTTGTTAAAAATATACAATGCAACCTTCGTGTCACTTCTATTTGGAAAGATAATGAAAATTGAGTTGCTAAAAAATGAAACACCCTTTTTCACAATTTGCACGTACATTGAAGAAATGATACGAGATAAAAGTTGTAAATTAAAAAGGTAGAAGAAAGAAATAATTTCTTTTCATTTACTTTAACCTTGAAAATTCTTTAGTAAATGAGGTGTAAAAAATCCCCTCCCCCCTCCCGTCTACATCACTTGAAGCATTCCATAAATGTAATGAGTTGAAACTTTTCCCCATTATCCCTATCTTTCCATGAAAAAATAGGGAATTTCATCCACGGGTAAGGAAAAAACGGCCTTTCCGGTTGCACAAACATCTTGACATCCCAGGTTCCGTTTAACTTTAGTCACCGCTTTCAGATTTGTGGGTAGAGTTTTAAATTCGATCATCTATAGCGGCGTTTGTTACTTGTAAGTTTACTTTTAACGGATCATCTCAATTCATGTAAATTTAAATTATGTAATCATTTTATTTAAAAAGACACATCACCTATTTACTTTTCTCTTACTCGAAAATTGCATCTGTTCTGCTTTAGGAATGAGTATAATTTAAAGCTTTTTACTTAGACTATATGGATTGTTTATAATCTGTTATGTGCTAAGTTTGTCAATTATCTTTGAGTAGGTATAAAGTAAACAAAAGTTTTCTTCTATTTTGGTGATTGTTTTCTTGTTAATATATTTTGAACAGAATATCTTTCGCCCTTTAATTTTAAATCTATGCTTTATATTTTTATTGAAATTCATATCCTTGTTTGTTTGTTTTTTTTCCCCTGATGTTTATATGTAACAATTAAAAATGAAATCTTTATGTATTTTCTTTATTTATGTATTTATTTGTGAAGGCTGTTTTCAAATAAATTCATCAATAATTTTAATCTCTTGATGATTTTATAATTAATAAAAAATCATTTATTTAAATCAAGAAATAATTATGAGATAATTATTATAAACTAATCACTCTTATTAAAAGATTTTGGGAAAATAAAATTTAAAAAAAAACGTTTTTTTCCAGAAATTTCAAATTTATTTTAAGCAAGTTTACAAATCATTTTCAGTTACTTACTTGCTACTAATATCAATAAAAATAATTATTAAAAAAAATATTATTATTATTTTTACTAAATAATATAAGCATACAGATGTCAGGTATTGGCTTCCTCTCCTATATCTTGTAAACTTATATTTTTCATCGAATATTTACACAAAAAAATGATTTTTTAAATATTTTTCTGAGTATGAAAATCTTTTTATTATGCTACTATTGTATTTTTTGCATCATTATCAATACAAAAATGTTTAGGTATTTTATTGAATTAATGTTGCTATGCATAAGTTATTATATTTATATAATTTTCATAAAATTGCTGAAAATTCAGTGAAAAGTAAAGAATTCAGTGAAAAGTAAGTTAATTAGTAATTATCTAATTAAACGTTTAAGTTTATCTAAATTATGTTTCTCAGAATAATGTAATTACATAATAATAAAAATATTAGCAAGTATTGAACAATGAAGATTTTTAAAGTTAATCATTATTAATAATGATTAACTTTAAAAATCTTCATTGTTCAATACTTGTTAATATTTTTATTATTATATTACTTTGTACTGCTTTCAAGTTTTAAAAAATTAAAGAAAACCCTACTGTAAGAATTGTTTATTTTATTCAATTCTTAATTTAATGTTTTATTTATTTATTTTTAAGTTTATTTTAAACTGAATATTGTCCATATAATTTTTATTCTCACTAATCAATTTATTAAACCAATATCTCAGTTATTTTTTTGCTTCTTGATAACTTTGCTAAATAAAAATAGAAAAAACTAATTTTTTAATCCATCATTTCTCATTAAAATCCAGTTTTATCCTGACTTTTTGAATAATTTTCCAGAACAATTAACTTAATGTTCTAAGTAATTATGCTGGTTGGGTTTTATAATATTTTTTACAAGCTTTTCTTCATGATTTAAAATTAATGTAAAAATAAAGAATTTAAAAAAAAAACGTTTGTAATATTTTATAGATTACTTGTAACTTTTTTGCATGAAAGCTTTAATTTTAAGAGCTTTATTCGATATAGATTTTATCAAATGATCTGACAGACTCGATCCTAATTGTGTCTTTCATATTTGCAACTTATATTCTGCCAATAACTTTTGTTCTTTTTGTTTAACAAATTATATAATCTTTAGATTTTTAAATATATTTTTCTTCATTAATACAAAATGAACCCAAAAGTGTTGTCTCAAAACCAATGTTTGCTTCAATTAAAAACTTTCTATTTTCCTTCAGAATAATAGAACAACTGGTTATCCACCTGGAAACTACGGAAAAATGGCTGAGGTAAGCAATATTCACATTTTTGTAACTAAAAATGCCAATAAATTTTCAATAACACGCATTTTGAAAACGTTTTTTATACTTATTTTAACTATATTTGATGTACTAATTTCGGTAAACAAACAGTTTTTCTTTTCCAGCTCTTTAAATGCAACTAAGTTACATAATATATGATTTTTCTTAGTGTCATAAGCAAAATTTAATGTTTTTTTTTTCCTAACTGACTTAGTGTATTAATTTTAAATGTTAAAAGCTTTTTTTATCAGCTCTATTTTTATTGAGTCTTCAAAAGAGTAATTCTTCTAAATTGAGATAATTTTTAAATAAATTCATTGTTTGTATTAAGTTTTGTATTTAAAATTGCTGTACTGTAATACATATTTTTTTTCCTTAAATTTGTTATTATTGTTTGTTGAAAATCAACAACTATGATTGCAGCATTTCTCTTTTTGTAGACCTTTATAATCATTAATCTAAAGTTTTTAACATGTATAAAAAATTATAGTTAGTTTTTTTTTAACTTAACTAGTAAAAGTTTAACTAGTGAAGAAGTATTACTTCTTTATGTTTTATAATGGTTGATAAATATTTATGGAAATATAAATAAAAAAAAATTTTTATGTAATAATTCAAAATTATCCTAGGGCTTTTTTTTTTCTAAAGTATACATGGCGATTGAATACTAAAATTCCTTTTAAATCTCTATAAATGTACTAAACTGCAGCACATTTTGCATTTTAGTCCAATTTGTTTGAATTAATATAAACTGAACTTACGATAGTGTAAATTTAAATATGCTCTCATTATAAAAGTCTTGGAATATTTGGCGAAACAAACATTTTATATGTAATTTGGATCTTGTATGTGTTAGCTTAGGTAAAATGTTGTTTTTAAATTAAATATTCTTAGATTCATAAACAAATATTTTAAAATTTTATTCTAAATTAATTTACTCGAAAGTTATTTTAATCAGGATGCTATCTAAAACTAGTAAATATTGCTAGAGTATCCCCATAGTTTATATTTCATTTAAAACTTTTATGATAACCTACGTAAATTTAAAAGAATAGATTTTTCTTTGATATAAATTAATAATTTTAAGTTATTTCTTCTTTTTTTTTATTTTGATGATTAAAAGTTTTCTATTTTTAAATTTTTTTCCCTCCAAAATTAGAGTTTAGCTTTAGCAAGTATTATCCCTTTATTTTATTGTTAGAAAATGAATTATTTCTAATGTTTAGTTGCCTTTGTTTGTAAAGGAAATTACCCATGATACGAGATTTAATTTTTCTTACATGATTTGTTTTAGTACATTACTGGTGAAGGAACTGTCCATCCCTATCAAAATTTTGACCCAAAGCTGGATGCTGAATTACTTAGGAAAGCCATGAAAGGCTTTGGTAATATAAATATTTGTCACTTTTTGATTTCCTTGTAACTAATTTCATATTTTTATTTATAATTATTATGGTTCGCATCACTATTTCAACAATTGTTGCCAAATGTTCTACAAATGTCACTTAAATCCTATGCATAGGCGATAAATTTGTTGATTTGAAGTATGTTAATATTCAAAATAGTAGGGGAAAATAATTTTTTTTTCGTGAATTTAAAAATAAATATTGTTGTACTAATTTTATTGTTCTAAGTGTAGTGTGGAGTTCAAATGTGTGGTATTTAAATGGAATAACTGTATGTGTCTGGTACTAATAATATTAAATTTAAATCTTGAAATTTCAAATTTTCATCTTGTGCTGTTCTTTGCATTCATGTACTGACAGCATAATTGTTTATTAACAAAGTAATATTTATTGCTCTTTTAAAATTGACTTTATTTAAAATTTAATGATTTTTAGATAATTAATTTTTATTATAACATTTTATTAGTTCTTACTTCCTCTGCTTTTTTTTTCTTCATTTATTTATTTATTTGGTCTCAGTATCTTGAATCAGCTATGTTAAATCTATTTTTTTCACTTAATTTTAATAAATATTAATCTTCAATCATTATAGGGTAATTAACCTAATTGGCTTTAGGATGTTATAGAAGGCAATTTATAATTGTTGATGTGTACCATAACATGAATTATGTAATTGTAAAGTTCAATTTTTTTCTCAAGTTTGTTTTCACATATTAAGTTTTTGAACATCTAAAATGACTATCCAGATGGATGGTCTCTAAATTTTCCTTGCTGGTGTGAACTCTAATAATTGTATAAATTCTTACTTTATTAAGTTCTTCATATTTTTATAATTATTATGAAATAAAAAGGTTTAAAAGATATAGCATATGTATATTACAACTTTTTAAAGTACACCATAAACAGGGTACAAAGCTAATATATTATCTTTGCCACTAGGCTCACACTGTATTACAAGTGATAAAATTTTATACTAGCTGTTCTTGATGTGTTTCAAAAAGTTATAAATGAGTAAATTTTATTTATTATGACTTATATTTGTTAAGCAGTAATCAAATATTTATATAACCTTGATTATTATTTCAATCTTGAACGCATAGTGCTTGATATTACTTCGGAACTGTGTAATAAAAATCAACATAAATTAAATTTATAGCTGTTGATTTTTGATATATTGCTTTTGGGTACTGTATGCTTCAAATTTTCCTGCAATGACATAAATTTGTCGTTTTTTTGCAACCTTATATTTGCTAATAATAACAATCTGATTTAATATTATAGCATGATTTTTTTTGGGTAATTAAGTATAAATTCGTGCTATGTTATTATTATTTCATTTATAATTTCTGGTAATAATAACTAACAGTTCCAGTGATAGTTGTTTAAATTTGTTATATGATTGATCCTACTTACATTTGAAGTTATAATTCATATTCAGTTTGATACAATTGTTGACATGAAATTAGCATAAATGATGTTAATGTTATATATTAGCATTGTGTAAGATGCAATATTTGTGACTAGTGTAGACAATATAGCTAACTAAAGTAATTAGTATGTACTAGAATAATTAGTATATTTTTAGGATTTTTCAAAAGAAACCAGAGATTGGTTTCTTTTGAAAGATGCTAAAAAAATGAAATTAAAAGGCAAAAAAAAAATTATAAAATGACTTAAAAATGTACCTAAATTTTAACAATTTTCTTTTAATTTACGTAAATTTTTCATTGAATTGAGTCCTAATGCAGATTGCATTTATTTAAAGTATTAGATTTTTTAGATTAAGTTGTTGAATTTATTTATTTAAATAAATTAATATTTTATGGAAACTAGAAGTGTTTTAGTGAAAATTTAGAAATGATTTTTCATAGAAAGACTTTTCTTTAACACAAATGTGTTATAAAATTTGAAATTATGAATATTAAATAATAAAGAACCATGTAGTTTGCATAAACCATCTCAAAACTGCTAATGGAATCTAATAAAAATATTTCTCTTCCAAAAAAGACTAAATATTTAATAGTTTAAAAGTTAAATTAATATGTCTAAGTGTCATCTCTGCTCTTAAAATAAAGTACATTCCTTAAAAAAGTATTCTGTAAAAGCTCTGATTTATAAATATTGTAATAAAAGTTATGTTGATTTGAATAAAATATTAAGATAGGAAACATTTAATGTTATGAAATCTTTGAAGTATTTGGAGTTACATCTGTGCGCATTCAAATGTATTCAATGAAGTTGGATTCCGAATCTTTATATTCTATATTAATTTATAATTTTATTCACTTGTAAAAATAATTTAATAAGCATATTTTTCCCCTTAAGTTGGTTTATAATTCAATAGTAATTTTCAGTTTGAATAATTAAAACATAAATCTGTATTTAATATTATTCTTATACAGTAGGGAACCGATTATCCGGAACGATCAGGACCATCGCTATTCCGGATAACTGATTTTTCCGGTTTTCGGAAAATCTACAAAAAGCCGTTTTTTTATTGTTAAACACAACTAAAAAAACAAATTTTGGAAATAATCTTAAAAAGAAGAAAAAATGATGGTAAGGTAAACATCTTTCAAAAGAGAAAAAAAAATCCCAAAATCTTATGAGGAAAAAAAAAAATTTTTTTTAATTGCAAAAAAATTTTTCGAATTTCGTTCTGGTTTTTTGGTTTTCTGATTTCCGGATAACGGGTTCTGTACTGTATATCCCATGTCAGTGAGAAAAAAGTTCATGTAATATTATCCTGGGCAACACGTGCACTTGTTAATTAAATATATTTTCCCCGATTCTTCATAGGCACTGATGAAAAAGCTATTATCAATGTTTTGGCAAATCGAAGTAACTCGCAAAGAGTTTATATTGCTGTTGCATTTAAACAACTTTATGGGAAAGTAAGTTGCTGTGTATTATATATATTTATAAATTAATACACATTATGTTTCAATTATTTATTTATTTCAATATTCTTCCTCTCTAGTTTCTAGTATAGTGCATTCTTTGACTTCCAACAAAGGATAGGGTGTACTTCGTGCTATTTAGACGAAAGCAAAGAACATGAATAAAGCCTAAATGAAATAATAAGACATACAATGTCATAAATAGACATGCAACAGTTTCATTTCTATAAACAAGAATGTTGTTATAGAACTGAAACTATTGTATGTCCATTTATGTATTTTCTTTTGTGCTTTATTCAAGTGCTTCCCTGCTTTATTCTGTAACTTATATGTAAAAAAAAAGTGCTAATGACTAATATATGTAGGGTTTTAGATTTATGAAGAATTTTAACGATTAAGGATTAAAATTTAATCTCGTGAAATCTTTAATAAATATATATATTCTATTGTCTATTTAATTTTATTATACAATGACGACTCCAGGAAAACCATCTCTATTTAGAAGTGACATTTCTGCAGCAAGAAAATGACACTGACTAAAAGTAGAAGCGTTTGCAAAGAATCGTGTCCCTTTAATAACAATTTTGAAGTCGATTGAGGTAACCTCTAAGAACGACCGACCACCAACACCGACCATTTTACTCTGGAGCAGAGAGTGGTTGCTCCTGAGCGGTTTCCCTGTTTAACCATCGAGTCATGTTTTAATTAGAACTCTTCATTACTCTTTGTTAAATAATAACTATAATATTTATTTTTATAATCTATTAGGATCTTATTGATGATTTGAAGAGTGAATTGAGTGGAAATTTTGAGACTGTTATACTAGGACTAATGATGCCTCTCAATGATTACTTAGCCAAAGAATTGCACAGAGCCATGTCTGGAATTGGAACTAGAGAAGATGTTTTGATTGAAGTTTTATGCACAAGGACTAATCAAGAAATATGGGGCATAAATGAAGCTTATACCCGTCGTAAGTTTTACACCTTTTAAAATTGCCTAAGAGATTCAACTTATTAATGCCACTGTTCAATTTTAAGATTAATTTTTGAAAAAATATTCCATATAAATTTTTTGAAATTATTTTTTTCCCCTATACATGCATACTAGCGAAAGCTAGTGTCAAGCACTAATTTGATTACTATTTTTTTTCCTATGGTATTAAAGAGTAAAGTATCAAGTTTGTTTAATTATTTGTTAATTTATTTCTTTGAATTCTGTCACTATTTTTGTATAAGTACAAGTATTTTAGTATTAAGCACTAATGTTTCAGTTACTATGAGTTACCATTTGAAAAAAATCACATTATTTTAGAATTTCTTCAAACAAACTGTTTTAAGTAGTCTTTTTTGAGAAATTTCATACTTTATTTCAATGCACTTAAAATAAAATATTGTTATTTGGGACTTGAAAGGTTAAAATGAATTTTGTTCTTAGAACGATTATATGCATAATTTAAAAATGCAAAATGTAACATAATCTTAAAAATGCACGCATTTTTATTTTATTTGATATAGTTCTGTTAACCCAAGTTTTTTTTTTACTATCTATTTTTGTCATGGATTTGAATGATAAATTATGTGGTTGTTTTCAAATAATATATATATTTTTGGTAGCAAATTGAATTTACTTTATTTAGGCATCAAGACATTTAAATCCTTTATAAAAATGAAGCATCTCAACTGAATATAAATTATTTTTTTAAATCTGTGTATTTAAAAGCAATTCTCCCTTTTGTTTCATTTTACAAGCGCTTTATGTAATATAATTTAATTTTTATTAAACTTCTTGTATGATGTTGTGATCTTTTGTACGTTAAGGAACCTCTACCCTCGCCATCTTGGAATTGCGGTTCTTTTTTGTGTTTTATAGATATTTTTTTCTACCTAACAAACATTTGTCGATATAGTATGATTAGACACCCAAAACCTTTGAATAAAACCTTTGAAAAAAGGTTTTTGACCAAAACCTTTGAAACCTTCTATGAAGTTTTCCTCAAAACTTTAAAGCAATAAAATGATGCTATTTGTTTGAGTAGGTAATTTAAAACTACAAGTTTCTCATTCTATTTTAAATTGAATTTTATTACAAATTAAACTGATAGAAAATAATTTGGATGTTGCTAAAAAAATCTATTAACGTTAATAGCATAAAAGCAAAATTTTTAGTCAAAAATCTAAAAACTGGCAACTGTATGCTATTTAATAACCTATCGTGCAGAATTGTATTAGCATAATTTTTACAAAAAAAATTAGTAGCAAATCTAAAATACTGCACACTTTATATCTCTAATTGTGAATTGGTGGCAGCCTTGTATTTTACATGTATCGAAAGATACTGTCTCGTGGTGTAAATATCCATCAGCAGTTTATGTGTAAAAATTAAATAAAGAGAATTAAAATCATATTAAGAATTTTCCCGACCTAACACCTTCGACTGTTTAGTTCAGTTAGGAGAGGTAGGACCTCTTAAGTGCTATGCTAACTTGTTTATCATTTTCTGCTAATGCTCATTAACATTTTATTTAACATGAAAATATATTTTGTTATGCATGGTAAAAGATGCCATCATGAAAATTACTGGTTAAAAAATACATTGTGAAATTTTTTTTAAAATTATCATTTATTATTTAATTTAATCATAAAATTTTGAATTGTAAGGTATTCTAATATTTACATCATTTTATACTGTTTCATGTTTACGTTTAAAATCAAAAATTTAAGCTAACTACTGTATAATCACTCCTGTTTGCATATTTTTTCACAATTCAACTAGTTCATGTTTTCTGATTTATCAAATCATTTTAAGGTCAAAAAAGTTTTTCATCTCTATAAAGTTTGGTTTTACTATAATAAAGTTCATTCATAATCACGAGCAAAATTTTTAACATTTTTCTTTCTTTTTGCAGTATATGGTAAATCACTGGAAGATGATATTAAAAGTGACACCTCTGGTCATTTTGAAAGACTGCTTGTTTCTGCCTGTAATGTAAGTTTGATGCTGTTTCTGTTTAAGGAATAAATTTTGGCAAAATGTAACTACTATGCTATTTTTGTAAAGCAATATATTTTATAAAAATAATGCTGTCTATATGGATTAAATAATGTTTCAGATTTTGTAGTTTCCATTTGTATTTTATTCTGTTTGCAATGATTGTTATTGTTTCTCTTATTTCTCTATTTACTCAACATTTCATTTGCTATTTTATTGTATACATTTTCAAAACAATCCCGTTTTTTTTTCTGCATTATAATTAACAATATTTATTTAATTGATGTATACTGTTTCAGTTTAGTTCTTCGTCCAACATAACAATGCCGTCCATACAGATCAAATATGGTTTGAGATTTTGCAGCTTCCTATTTGTATTTTACTCTGTTTTCTAAGACTGTTTTTGTTTCTCTTATTAACTAGCGTTTACTTCTTTTATTGCTGTGTTTATTTCATTTTATTTATTATTTCATTATATACCTTATCGGAATAATCCCATGCATTTTTCTACATTATAATTTACAACATTTAATTCTTCTCCCAGTATAACAATGCTGTCCATACAGATTAAAAATGGTTTCAGATTTTGCAACTTCCATTTCTATTTTACTCTGTTTTCAATTATTGTTTTTGTTTCTCTATTTATTCAATGTTTCATTTGCTTTTTCATTGTATACCTTTTCGAAATAATCCCATGTTTTTCTGCATTATAATTTATAACATTTATTAACCACTGTATACTGTTTTGCTTTAATTCTCCCAACAGGTAAAAGCTGTTTTTCAATTTATTAGAAAACTTTTGCAAAACTTCTTTCAATTTCGCAATGCCATAGATTTGTGTTTAACTTTTAGTATACTTTATGCAACATGCTTATGAGTATATTCATTGTTAAACTTTGTCGCTTTATAGTATTTCTTCAGACATACTTGTTAATATTTGAATCTATATTAACATTTTTAAATTTAGCTCTACAATTTTTTCTCTTGATTCATTTTTTTTTATTTCATTTAGGGTGCAAGATCTGAATCTCCTGCTGATGGTGAAAGAGCTAAACAAACAGCTCAAGTAAGAAAATAGATTTTAATTATTATTTTTCAAATTCTTCTCATTACATTTTTTTTCTTTCGTAATATTATTTAATTGAATTAAAAATTATATTCATTGGTTCCTTATAGATTCTGTAAATGCAATTAATTATTTGTATTATGTTTGATTTTTTTCATTATTTATGATATAGTAACAACCATTTAAAAATAATGATTGTAGGCTTTGTATGAGGCTGGAGCTTTGCAGTGGGGAACAGATGAATCAGTTTTCAATGCTATCCTTGTATCTGAAAGTTTCCAGCAATTGGCATATACTTTTTATGAATACCAAAAATTGACAGGAACCACCGTCACTGAAGCCATTAAAGGTGAAATGTCTGGAGATGTCAAGGAAGGAATGTTAGCAATTGGTATGTATAATCATATTTTTATTTTTTATATCTACTTATTGATGTCATTTTTTTTCCTTCAAAATACAAATAAAGGGTGTAGAATTTTACTTATTAAGTTTTAGTACTTAACATGAAGTAATGTCTTTCTTTCTATCTGTCTAATTATATTCCTGCCCTTTCTATATTTTGTTTAAATTTCTTTGGTAGTTATTAAATTATATTTTCTTTTGTAAATTTATTTGCATTTTATTTCATTAAGTCATTTTCGCGAGCAAAAGTATTTTATTTATTCTACTTTAAAACAATTAAATACTGACAATCCTTTTATAAAAAAAAGGAATCAGAATAAATTTTGGTTTTACAATAAAAGCAGTGGACACAATGTTTTGTAATAAATTTGTCAGAATTTTGAAAGGAGAAAAAATTGAATGGAATAATGATAAATAATGGTGAATGATAGTTAAATAACAGTAAGAAGTTATGGTTATATTTTTAGTAAAATTATTCAGTGTTCAGCTTAGTATTTCTTTATTACAAGCAAGATCAAACATCTCTTTGGTGTGCAAATGATTATTCTCATCAAAATATTTAATTTTAAAATTTCTTCTGTTTCTATCAAGTTATCATTTTTCAAAGTAACAGGAGGTATTATTTTGCATGTAAGCATCAGAGGCTCAAAAAACCTGCTTATCGATCTAGAGAGCAAACATAAAAAATAAAACTGATGACAGAGTACTTTATGAAGCATGCTGGCATGCTTTCATTTTAAAAATCAAACAATGATTCTAAAAACTTTTTTTTTTACGAAAAAGATATGTTTATAATTTAGATGATCAATCGTTTTAAGTCTCAATTTTTTCAAAAATTGTAATCAACTGCTTTCGTTTCTGATTTTTCATATGTAATGACGTTTGATGTTGTCACAATTCTTTAAAAAATTGCATTCGACTATTTTTGTTTCAGGACTTTTTATATGTAATATGTTAACAAGGTGATGAACGTCACATGTGTTTTTAAAGAAATCCACATCATGTCTCTTGGGCTGCTTATTGTGGTATAGAAATGTGAATTACGTACTACAAACAGATTTAAATAAATTATTAGTTATAAATAAAAGTCTTTATTGACCGACACAGCCTTAACAGAAAGTTTCGACTGCATCTCAGTCATCAATGATTGATGTGGCACTTAACGTGTTAAGTAATCGAATTTTTTCATTGACCACAGTACCTAAGTAATCATAACGAGCACCCATTATTTTTTATTTTTAGTATTTAACCTTTTTTCTAGACCTAAAGACTGGAATAGGTTTGTTGAGAAAAGTGCATCGTTATACATGAAAATCATATAGAATACCTCTCAAAACCACTTTTTTGTAAATTTAATCATTATAGAATACAAGATAATAAATTATTTTAAATTTCAAAATAATAAGAAGTGGTAACATTTTCTATATTTTAATTAGTTGGCTCTATAAAATGCAAGAATATTTTTTATATATAATAAAAAAATTTAATTTTTTTTCTTTTTTGATTGAACTTTCATAGTCCCCTAAATAGATATGAAGTTTTGTGCTGATGTGTAGTTTTGTGGAAGTTGGCTTAAATTAATAAATTTTTAGAAGAAAAAAAAATATATATATATATTTTAATTTTAAAATTTTTAAAGGATAAAACAAGTGTGTGCTCTGTTTTTGTACTAATATGTATGGGTAAAGTTGCTGTACCATACAGAGATGGAATCCTTAATTATTGTAATTACTTTATTTTTCTTTTTAGCCAAATGTGTTGAAAACAGACCTTTTTACTTTGCTGAGAAACTTTACAAAGCAATGAAGGTAGTACGTATCTCTTTGCATTGCATTTGCTGCCATCATATATTGATAACAAAACTTTAAGTGTTTTTTATTTTATTTTTAGGGCTTGGGTACCGATGATGACACTCTGATCCGGGTTGTAGTTTCTCGATGTGAAATCGATATGGTTCAAATCAAAGCAGAGTATGAAAGAAATTATGAAAAACCCTTGGTTGATGCCATAACTGTAAGCACAATTTTTTTTATAGTAAAACTTGTTGATTGATAACATTTTACTTTTAGAAACTTGTGTTAAATATTTAAAATGAGGTGCATACATTTTAGAAAACTTTTTTGTTTGTTTTCAGTGTATTATTAATATGACCACCATCCCAAAGATTAAAAAATACATATTGTATTTTTTTTATATTTTATTATTAATTTGGATTTTGAATTATAAAATTGCAGCTGACTAGCGAAAATCTTCTGAATCTTAAGGCAATAAAATATTGCATGTTTTAACTCTGCTTAACTTTCAATACTTGAAAATTGTTATCCATAATGAATATATGAGAATCACAATTAAAAGTATAGTTTTCATATCTTTATTGATGGGTGTAATGTTGTTTTATTATAATATCTTGCATCTTTTAAATGCCTCTACGAAATAATTGTATTTTTTTTTAAAAACACATTTTATCATTTTTAATTATGTCATTAAATCACTTTTATGTGACACATAAAATATTCATTTAAACTTTTTAGTAGTGATAAGTAAAAGTTTTATTTACTAAAATAAAATCTTTTATTTTTGATATCCAAAAATTTTTTTTAAAAAAACAACTCATTGTAAATTTAGAAATTAGAATAGTTTTTGTAGTAGATAAATAATTTTTAACTTTAAGAGTCATCTCTTCTCAGTGAAACTTTTCTCTTGGCAATCCATATAACACAAAACAAAATTGTTCACAAAAATCCAAATTGGAATATATATATACAGAGTTAAATGTGCTCCGGAAAAAATCCGGATTTCCAGATTTTTCGCTATCCGGAAGTTTCAAGGAATCATCAATCACATTTATGTATAAAAATTCTTTGTATAGATGTGATTAGATATACAAGTAAACTTATGTGTAATTTTTCATTTAAATTATAATTTATAAAGACATTCATTTTTTGAAATGGGCCATTAATGATTTTATTCCAGGATTTTGAGTTGGGCTCACAATCACCCTGTACATATATATATATAGCATATATATATATATATATATATGTTTATATTTGTTAATTCACCAAACTCTTTTATTGAGCATCT